AAAAAAAACACAAAAATTAATTAAATAAAAGTCAAAAGTATTCTCTTTGAAATGAACATTTTAGAATTAGTTGTCTTTATATTTAAATAAGACCCATTATTATATTGCATCTACTTGATTATAAAGGCCAATGATTACTCAACAAAATTTATTTCTGACCCACAGTACTGTGCTCTCAAAACTGTATAGGAGTGACCAAAAAGTATGCCACATGCATTAGCCAACCCAACTCGAATAAGCTTCTCAAGTTGCAGCTAAAAAGTATGCCATAGTTAAGCAATATACAAAATGTAAATCAAGTTTGTGTCTTAAGTCTTCTGTTTTCAGTGTGCATGCATAGTAAAATATATAAATATAAATAATTTATATAAACTCAATAGACAATGGCTTCAATATTGAATGCATTCCACAATAATTAGGTATAATTAAAATTTTTGTTCAGCGAGTGGCGTGCGTCGCATATAGAAAGCAAAATTAAGTGAGGATAAAGGCGAAAAAACTTAACTGACAAGTGTAACAAATTAATGTTTGCCGTATATCGAGTTTTTACGATAAATATTTATCGACTTCAGTTACGCGCACAATTAAATCTAGACAGACGGACAAAATGAAGCAAGCGGCGTGGCATGAGTCGTGGCTGGTCTATGCGATTCGAAGCCTATACGTACCGCCCGCGCCTGCATTCAATGCGAGTGACTGACAGCTTGCAACTAGCTGCTAAAGTTGACTTCACCTTGTCAGCGAGTGCAGGCAGCTGACGTTTTTACTATGGCCAAAGCTTGACCATTGAAAGATGCCTGCTCTCTGCTGTTATGCCTGATGTCTGCTGTCTGATGTCTTTGTTGCTGGCTTCTTCTAATTAAAAACGTTAAATACGTAGTGGACAAGCCTTTTGTAGAGCTGCTGCTAAACGTGCCAATTAATTAGTGGCCGCGTTGAAAACAAAATGTTGCAAATTATATATACCCTATACATACCCTATATAAATAATAGTCAGCTAAATAATAGATAGATAGATTGGACACTGAGATGTCATTGAGTTGACAGCTTCGTAGGTCAAAATCAGTTAATATTCAACCATAATCTGAGTAATAACTCTCTTGCTTTAAGTGTAATGATAAATGTGCTAAATAAATAAATAAATTTCAAAGGAAAATGAACGTTGATCAGCAAAATCTCACATAAATTATTAGAATATGGACATTGATAGTTATGATATCGATAATAGAATTTCTCCCTCAAGGAAAATATCTAGCTATAGATAAGCAAAGCTTAAAGTGGATTGCTCATCATAATTGATATAAATAGCTTAATCAAGATTTCTATCTTATAATATTACCAGGGATAATCTTGTTATCGATAAGGTAAATACGTCAACCAACCAGTTGCTGTTACACGGTATTCATATAGCAGCCCAAGCTCAGGGTCTGCATTCTTTCGTGTTTTCTGGTATGGAGAATTGCGTGGCTATATATTACAAGTTGTTGCAGCCAAATCTTAAAGTCGCAGCCGATTGATCACATAAATTTCACTGCTTTCTAACGCATCAGTAGGCGAATTGGCATTGGCATTGGCGTTGCGATTATTGAAATATCGTCAAAGGTTTTTTCTTTTGGCCACTCATGGAGCCACCGGCTGCAGCTGCAGCAGCAGCAGCGGCAGCGGCAGCTTTTGTTTTCTCAAAATGTGGATAATTGCAGCTGACAGGAGCCGAAGACGACGATTGCAATGGCAATAGCAGTTGCAATACCATCGGCAATGGCAGGGGCTATGTTGACACTGGGACTGGGTCGGAAACCCGCTGACAACATTTGCGGCTGCTCTCACTCTTTTTCTAACATGATAATTGGACATGTGCATGGACATAAGCAGCCAGTTGACAGGCCACTAGCAACGTTTACCTTTGACAGATCGTCTTGGCTGTGCCCTATTCCTTTTTAATTGGCAGTCGCATCTTGGCTCGAAAGTGAAATTGATAAACGCGTCGCTTGGCCAACACTCGATCGTGCTTGGCCTACAAATATCTTTCATGATTTTTGCAATTTCGTAATCCACATTCGCGTGGCAAGTGTTTTTTATTTTGTATTTCTTTAAATTTGGTCAGTCGTCACACCCAATTTTAACAATCTGTCCGTTATAATTATTATAAATTTTTAAATATTTTTCGCAACTTTCATTTTGTCACCTTATCTAAACATACAAGTGATAGGGGTCTGACTATGCAACACTATTATATTCGGCAGCGCCCTCAACAGCATCTCTTTTAGGGCTGGGCAGAGCCTACATACATATGAATCGCATTAGCCTGCTAATTGCTAAGGTCAATAAAAGAACCACCAAAAAATAAAAGTAAATACCTTAAGGCACGGCTGCAGTCAGGTCGACAAACAGTTAGAAAACTTTCATTTTGGAAATGCGTAAATTTTGAGTGTGTAATACAGAATGCATTCAGGGAAATGATGCAATCGGGAATTGCGTAAAATTTCATGTTTATTCAATTAACAAATATCATTTACGCAATTTGTGTGGAGTCTAACTAGGTGTTAAATACAAAATTTTGATGAGATAAATGTTAGTTGATTCAGTTGGGCTTTAGGTAAGTGTGAGGAAAAAGAAATGTATATAAAGGGAAATTTGTATATAAAGAATTTTACAAATACTTTAATTAGAGAGAATATAAACATTAAAACTTAAAACAATTTTCAGAAAAAAAGAAATATTTGTATTATATCATAAATTTATTTTTACAATATTTGCTTAAGCCATTTAGTATTATTTCCCTATTCAATAGATTGTTTTTATTCTTTGCACTCTGCAGAAAAAAAAAAAAAAAAAAAAAAACAGCTTAGTGAAATTTTGACCATTTATAATTACATGCAAAAAGCTCCTTAGTTAAAGATCTGCCGCTCACGCTTTGCTTAACAAATGATAATGAAAGTCTAATCCAAATGTATAACAATTGCCTGAAGACGCCCAAGAAAATGACTAAATGTAATTGGGAAAAACAAAAGAAGGAAAGGTGAAACACAAAGTGTTGGGCATTTGTTATAAATTATAATTAAATAAAGTCAGCTTTACCTCTTGTAAGCTCACTTATTTACCATTTGTTTTGGTCAAATGTTAATCAACAAATTTTTAAATAATTTTTGTATTTATTTGAGCTGACTCTTTAGTGACAAATATAGCTCCCACACTTGGTGCACAGATTTTCGATAGGTATGCAAATTGAGCTGAGACATCAGATAATGAGACATTCGATATGCCTTTAGCAGACACCATAATTGAACATATTGGCCCGGCTAAGCTGTATGCCGTACGTTGGCCAAAACAAACATGCAAACAGCATGCAAACAATTCGTGTTGCTCTTTTGGCTTCTATTCACATGTTGCTCACTTTCCACAAAGAGCACGCCAGCTTTCACAATGCTCTCTTTAGGAGCGAATCGGCGAGTCGGCGAGTCGTCGAGCCGCTGGAGTCGTCGAGTTAGCCGCAGCTCGTGGCTGCAACGTTTGGTATAAAACTTCTTACGTATGCGCGTCATGGCTCAATCTTACCTTGAACTTGGTCGTGCTAAGATCGCTGCTTAAATCGATATAGCTGAACAGTGGGCTCTAGAGTGTGGTGAATTTATGCTGCGCCGGCGCAGCTTTACATTTGAATAATTTTATGTGCGTTAATTGACAATAGATCGGTGACGACTGCTTCATCTTTTATATACAAGAAAATGGAACAAAGATCCGTTGCTCGTATGCGTGTCATTAAGTGTATATAAATCGGTGGTCAAGATACACACACACACACACACACACACTCAGAGAAGGCAGAAAAGATTCTTGTCAACGATTTCACATCTAACGGCAACTGTATCGATAACTAGCCAAAACACATCTAGTTGTAACTGTACTTGTATTTGTGAACGTGATGGACTGGCAGCGTTCTTTAGCTGGCATTGAGCTATGGCTGCTGCTCCTATGTTTGCCAATGCCATTTACACTGATCCAAGCCTGGAGCCTGCCTGCTCACCCTGTAGCACCTTCAGCTGCAGCTCCAGTTCCAGCTGCCATCCCCGTTGCCCGGGCAGCGACAACGACACCTGCTGGCCGACAACTAAATGGTAAGTTATGCCAAGTCACTTGGCTGCAAAATTTAAACCAAAAACATTTTTGTTTTTCGACCAATGACTCAGCTCAGCCCAAGTTGTTCAATTTCTTTCTTAGTTTTTTTTTTCTTTGGCTTTTCGGATATGTAATACAGCGCCAAACAAAGCAAAGCAAAGCAAAACAAAATATAATCAAAAAAGCACTTTTATTGTAGTGAAATTTTTGCTCATTAAACTAAATGTGAGAGCGCATGAATTTAAATAGCCATTATATCATAGTCGGTCCAAAGTAGATGAAGTACCAGCTGACCAGGAGACAGATGCCGGCTGGATATGTGACAGGTCGGCATCAATTTAGTCAGCTGACAAAAAGTGCATGGCTAATTAGCGTTTAGTGGCATGGTTAGTGCAGCAGAACTGGAATATTGTTAAGAAAGGCTAAGATTTTTTTTAGAGCAGTTGACATGCTTCATGCGCCAGCATTTCAGCTCTGTTACGCTCTGTTCTGTGCAAGAGTCGAGCAATTAGCTGACGGCCTGCACTTGTGCGAGGTGCCATAAAACTAAAGACAACGAAAAAAGGAGGAGAAGACGACGAGGCTATTGCAAGTGCCATGGCCATGTAATATGGGTCACACATAAGTACTTATAACTAAACTAGAACTTGTTGAGCGCTAAAAAACAGTCGTCGCTTATTTACGCACTCACTCGTTTGAGCTGACAAAAGAAAAAAAAGAAAGAAAAATAAATAAATAAAGGGTGCCAGATTCACWAAAGTGTGGGTAACCAAGAGCAACTATACATAATGTAAAGTCACTCTCGAAGCAAACAGCTAAACGTGCTCGAATTTTGAATACTCTTGTAATTAGAGGGCACGAACTGAGGGGCCTCTAGTTTCTCTGCATGATAGTTTTTATGTGTTTGGTCTTCTTAGTTATTAATTAATTACTATTATTAATACAAAATATGTATATATGTTATCTTGTTAATATATACTTATTGTTTCTGTAACTAGTATGATTATTAATTTTACAATTATTTCTAACGTTTTATATACTAAATCTTTTTCATTATAATTTTGATTATAGATATCATAATTCTACTAATTATTTTTATTATTATACCCTGAACCCATTGAAAATGGGAAATCAGGGTATAATGGTTTTGTGAAAAGTATGTAACAGGCAGAAGGAATCATCGCAGACCCCATAAAGTATATATATTCTTGATCAGGACGACGAGCTGAGTCGATATAGCCCTGTCCGTCTGTCCGTCCGTCCGTCNCATACTCGTGTATACCATAGGCAGTACAAGTTTGCTTTATTTTTTCGATAACTCATCCGATAACTTTTTTATCGAGAATAATCGAAAAATCGACAATGTTTTTTCAGCTTATTTTGAACACTTTTAGACCTGGAGACTTCAAATTTGCGTTGTATATAAAGTTAATGGATACAAAGATTTTGTAATTTACAGATTTTGGATACCACGCCCCCTTCGCCCCCAATTTGTAAAAAACGCATTTCAAGTACTAGAGACTTGTGCTTTGAAATGTACACACATTTAAGCCATATGATTACGCTCTAAAAGTTTCATTAAGATCGTATGTCTACAAAAGAAATTATTCAACAAATAAATTCTCGTTATATTGCCCACACTGCAGTGCAGCCCAAGCGCAGCCGCTGCTAGCTGCGCAGTTTGCAAAGCGCGTGCTTATACGTGCATGTGTATGTATGTGTGCATAAAAGAAGTCCAGAATGATTAGAATATCAGTTTGGAGGGTTCAGGGTATCTCCTAGTCGAGCAGTCTCGACTGGAGCCTTCTTACTTGTTTATATTGTCATTTTCATTGTCATTATCATTATTATTGTGATTCTAGTAGCTACCAGTTTACTTTTATATACGAATTTAAAAAAATCACTATCATTCTTCTCATTCTATGCCATGCTTTGTCATCATTCAATAGAAATTATATTAGCATTTTCATTATGATTTCTCCTCATTGTGATTGTTATTCTAGTCCATTGTTCTTAATATTATCATTATACTCTATCATTGTCTCTAACTCCATTTTCAAATTTGAAACTAGCATTAACATTTGACTCTTCAGTTAATAGTGCCCATTATTCTTATCGTAGTTATAAATAATAAAAATCATTATTAAAAATCATCCTATTATCATTCATAACTATTTCTGTCTATCTTAGAAGTACAAACTTTCTTTATAAGCCTATCTCTCGCCTAATTAATAGATTTTTAGCTTAGCCAAAATATCATGCATGCATAAGAATAAGTAAAATCCTACCATATATGCTATCTTTTCATTAAATATTCTCTTGAATTACTGCTAATTCCTCACAAATTGTGAGCTCCACATATGGACATTTGCTGACCACTGATAATCAATACGTCTTGGCCACATATAGAAGTTGTTATGCTCGCGCAATGTGAGAGCAGCCATGCAAAGTGAACAACAAAGCAGGCTGATAGACTTAGTCAAGTCGTGATATAGCCACATATTTGGTTGACCAAGGCGGCTAGGTTCCAAACAATAAACACAATAAAGTGAGACAGACCGGCAGAATTGAGGCGTTGTGGGGAGCTGACACCAAAAACAACCTGAAAAGTGCTCATAATTGGGTTATAACCGTCATATGCCATATGTGTGAGAGTGTATGCGTGTGTGAGTGTGTGTGTGTGTGGTTACACCTTGTCTTGTTTGGCTAGTGGCAAACAAAGCCACTGGAAAACTGAACGAAAATAAGACTGCGTCCGCGGCATTGACAACATGCCTTTCCATGCCTTTTAAGCGCAAAAAAAAAAAAAAAATTATAAGTGTGGACTGCGTGCTGTTGTTGTTGTTACTGTTGTTTTCCTTGTTGTTTTATTTTCTTGTGGAATGAAATGCAATTTCATTTTTTAATTGCATCTGCTCGTCAGGCATCTCAATCTCAATTGTCCAGTTTGGTCGGACAACAATGGCAAAGCAAAGCAAAGCAATGCGGAGCAGAGCTGAACTGAGCCGAACCATGCAGAGCATCTGCATCCAGCACTTTCATTGCATTTGATGCAGATTAAGTGACATTCGCTATATGGTTTGTTAAACACACGCTTTTGTTGTTGCTGTTGTTTAAGCTAACCACAGTTCCGTCGACGATTTGCGTAAGTGTTTCACGTTAGCTCTTCCTCTTCGATACGACAGAGCAGATCGAAACCAGTGAAAGTTTCATTTTATTGAGCGCTTTTGGTCATGCTTATTCACCGTTGTGCCAAGCTCACACACTTCTTGGCTAACGGTAATGCTTAACTATGTTGTTGTTTAGCTGCGAGCTTCAAGCTGTGAGGCCCAACAGGTTTCCATTTGACACATTGATCAAGAATTCTAGCCAGTTGTTGGCCAGCCGCACAGCAGAGAGCAGCTAATAGATTTAACTACGTGTAGACTAACTAGCGGTGCTAGGCTATGCTCAACTAAATGGAAACATATTTCACTTTCAAATGCCACCCAGGGCAAATCTTTTACAACTTCATTTGCTTTGGGTATAGAATTTTGTGTGATTATGCTAAAATTTGATGAGCTACTGCTATGGTTAGTCTGGAGGCTATAGACAAATGAGATTTACAGCACAGCTGGACAGTTGGCCAGTTAGCCAATTGGCCAATTGGCAACTGGCCCATATGCCCAGCAGCCTGGCAGAGTTTACAGTTTACAGTTTAAAGTTTTGTTGCTATTTATTGCATACAGCCCAACGATGCAAATGAACGCGTCACTCTTGAACAAGTTCGGGCTCATTGACCACGCCCCGGTTGCAATGCATGCGATTGCTACGAGTAGCTAAGCATATTAAGCCATGGGCCACGCATAAATTTCAATTGTAGTGAAAGTACAAAAAAAAAAAAAAAAAAAAAAAAAAAACCAAAAAAAAAACTATATATTTGAAATTAAGTCGAGCCCAGCGCTTGGGCATTGTCTTGAAAGGTAGCTAAAGGGGAATGGAAAGGGCCGCCAGCATGAAAGTGGAAAGATGCACAGGTAATCGTGTGCCAGCAGCAGCAGCAGCGGCAGCACTCGGGTTTCGCTTAATGTGCCGCATTTATAAGCAAAGCAAACAACGTTTTTGGCAAATGTCAAAGAAGCATCCGCGTGGGCTGCAGACAGTGTCGAACAAGGATTTTTATCTGTTGGATGTCACCAGAAAACAAGACAAAACAAACATTTTCTCACAATGCAACATCCTAGTGCGCGGCAGCTTTCACTTGGCATTGAACTGACATTATTGGCTGCCTGCTATTGCAAGGAGGTCATAGTACACACACACACACACACACACACACACACACACACACACACACACACACACATCCATTGAAAGGGAAATTTTCACTAATCACGACTTTGAAGATATGGCAGCAACAACCTGCAAACAGTAGCGCCTCCGCTGATGTGTGACAATTAAGCGGCAGCTGGCTGACAGCTAGTAACATCAATAACCCCACAGCTGTTGCAATCAATAGAAAGAAGTGAAGTGGGTAGAAAGAAGTGAAATAATTGCTCAATTTATAACGAGCTCTGCTCTTGCCTGCAAGGCGCAAATGCAGCCTGCAGCTGTGGCAGTCACTTAATTAATTTCATTTTCCCAATTAGTTACCTTATGCTTGTTTAGCCTAAGCGACCACAGTAGCTACTATTGTAATGGGTATACAAAGATACAAAAACATTGCGCAATTTATAGCAAGCTTTGCGACTAATTTATTTTATTTTGCTTAAACAAATTTTGCGAAAAAATGTGTAAGAAAAAGAAGCCATAAAAGTAAATACTAAACAAAGCTAAAATAGAAAGAGCGTAAAAAGATGTAAAAGAAGCTGCGACAACATATCTCTTAAATTTGTATTTGTATTTCTTAGTAAAAAAGTTAAAAATAAGCTGAATAAAGATAAAAACAAAATACTTTAGCCAAACTTATTTTTATTATTTTTTAATTATTAATGAAAAAAGATTATTATTTTATTTGAAAAGAAATATTTGTCAAGTAAATCTTCTTAAATTTTTAAATATAAAAAAAAAATTAAATAAATACTAATTAACATAAAAATACTAAATTAAAAATATAGAAATTTCTCAATAAAAAATATTAAAGATATCAAATTATGCAATTGCTTAGGCTTTACTTACATTAGCATAGAGTCTACTGAAGGAGAGAAAGAAACAAATATAATACTCAAACTAATAATAGATCTAACAATACTAACATAATATAATACTCCTTTGGTTATCATTGTTGACGTTTCATTTGTGATTTAAGTAATTCAATTTAATTATTTGTCAATTGGAGCTTCGACAAAGAATTGCCATAATTAGTTTGTAGCTAATTGTTAGGCTTTGCACATTTTCACTCGATTGTTGTTGGCTGGTTAGTTGGATGTGAAACTATGTTTTAAACATGGCAGACAATATTGCAGGTGGCAAGCCACACAAGGTGTTATCAATGTGGTTGTTATTGTTGTAATAGCTGCTGCTGCTGCTGGTGCTGGTGCTGCTGCTATTGCTGTTGCTGTCCAGTGGTCAGTGGTTGTGCACACTTTCACTCAAATATTTACAGTTGAGCAAAAGAAGAAGCAGCTGTGGTGTGGCAGCTGCCACATGTCCAAAGCACTTAACAAACCAGACCAAAATTCCGCTTGTGCGTAAGCCAAGCAATTTGATTGTTTTGGGCATTTGTGGCAACAAGGCCTCCAAATAAACTATGTACAGATGTTTGTAATAAACTTGATTTGTCTTTTTTTTTTTTGCAGCCTTTACGCCTTATTTGGACCTAGCTTTATGTCCGATTCGACCCGAGCCCTGGTCGTGTGCTCGTCAAAGATCGGCCAGAATTCTGGATGCTTGGGATGATGAATTGCAGTTGCAGTGGCAAAAGCTGAAAGGTAAGCCAAGTGCAGGTCAGGTGAAAGAGCTGTTAATTAACAGTTACTGTCAGTACACGTGATTTATGCTCCAGGTGAAAACTTGCAAATTGCCCATGATCAAAGAGCGACAGAAGTAAATAAAGTAAATTTTATGCTTCGGCTAAAAGCGAACTATATATTAGATTAGCATAAAAGTTAAAGAAAGCACTTTTTCCATTTCTATCCACACAGTGGAAGCGGACCGGCAGCTGAATGCGACGATTGAGAGACGCGGCTACAGCGCCTCGGAGCTGCCCATCAAAGAGAAGCCATCGACATTGTTAAAGAAAATCGAAATCGGCACGAAATACATGAAGGAATATCTAGCAGAGACGATGGACGGGTAATTCGGACAACAAGTTTGACAATATCCAGTTTTTGTTTCTGAACTCTCTGCATCTTCTTCTTCTCGTCTCGGTTAGTTTTCTTGGTCGCGAATACGAGTATTTGCAAGCGCCAAAATCAAAAGCGGATGATAGTGAAAACGTGGAATATGACGATGACGACGACGAAGAGGCGGAAACAGAGGGAGATGCCGAGGCTGACGGTGAGGGTGATGCAGATGCAGATGCTGATGCTGACGGCGATGCAGATGGAGATGCTGAGGCAGAGGAGGAATCCGCAGTCGATAATAGTATCGAGGATGAGGCAGAGGGGGATGCAGCGTCTAACAGCGTCGATCACGACGACGAAGAGGAGGATGAGGAGGAGGAAGACGAAGCAGACGAAGAACCTGAAGCGGAAAATGAAAGTGCACAAATTGTGCCACAGCCGACGAATGATGTGAAGAGCTCAGTGTTTAGCGATGGTGGTGCATCGAGCGGTGTGGAGTTCATAGAGCTCGAAGATGGTGCAGACAATGCGGCGGGCTCTGCGAAGAAGCCAGGCAAAGGCGGCAAACGCAAGAAGAACAAGAACAAGCGCAGGAAGAAGAAGAAGAAGGGTGGCCAGTCAGAGCATCAGCCAGCCACCCTGGTGGTGGTGCAGGCAGCGCCAGAGCACCACGAAGTTGACGCCGGACACGAGAGTGGACCAGCAGTTGTCAGCCACGGCGGCGGCCATGGAGGCGGCCATGGAGGTGGCCATGGAGGCGGTCATGGGGGTGGCCATGGAGGCGGCGGTGGCCGGCCCTTCAAGCGCAAGACCAAGCGTGGCAAGCGCAAGCGTAAGGGCCAACACTCGACGGCAGTGGTGGAGCACGAGTCCAGCGATACACTGGGCCTGGAGTTGTTGGATGACCTGCTCGATGTGGACGCGGACGCCTTGCTAGCTGGAGGAAAGCGCAAGCATAAGAACCCGTTTAATTATGGTAGAAGTAACGGAGGTGTGTGTTGTTTGCTGCGTGTGGTTTTCAATCAATTAAGCGCACCTTTTCCATAGCACAGTTGAAGTGCCTATATCTATCTATATAGTACTAGTTGGTTAAAATGAAAGCTCTGGCCTGCCAGAGATTAGAGTTGTGAGCTACGGAATAGTTCAGCAAGTCAACAGTTGTTCAATTGTTCATGAATGAATCGATTCTATTGACTGTAAAAGCTCTTCATATTCATGATGGCTAATTTATGCGAAAAATTAACTAAACTGTTGATTAATACGAAGTCATTGTGGTAAATAATATTCATGATCTGCTGAACTATTGATCATTTGCAATATTCGAAATTATTCGATTGACCTTGTTCATCCAATTGAGCCTAGCTTCACAATTCTACCAAATATCATAGTACACTTGCAGAAATTATACGAAACTAGTCAATATTTTTTTAAGTGCGAAAGGAGAGAACACTTTTGCAAGAAAAAGAGGTTATTCTTAATATCATAAAATAATAATTTCAAATAATTTCTGTAAGTGTATTTACAAATATGCTTGCTTTAGCATTCAACTGCTTGGCAAACGTGCAACCATGACACTGCTTGCCAAGCAGTTAACAATCGGTGCTGGTTAATGAGTTTTATAGCAGCCAGCTTAACACAATCAAACTCAAGCTTGAGGCAGTTGTTAAGCTGGGAGCTAACGGTCAAATAATTTATGTTGAATTCAAAAGATATATATAATAATTATATTATATTGTTATAATTATTTATATATTTATAGATTCATAAATTATCTGTCTTTATTCATTTATTTATTGTACATACATACATACCCTACGCCTGCTTGATTTGCTTCGAATGCTTGTTGTGTTATCGTTATCGTTTTGTTATCGTTATCGTTAACGCACTTACGCGCACTGCAGTTCATACTAACAAACATACCACCCTCCTAAGCGAAAATTATGTCGTTAAATCGTTTATATGTGTTCTTTATGTTGCGTTTGTTATGTTGTTCATATAAATTTCTATATGGTGAATAACTGATCGATCTTGCTTGCTTCACAGTTACGCGCGGCAAGAAGAAGAAGAAGAAGAAGGCAGCCGCTAAACTCCTACTGATCGGCTCACTACTGAAGGCCAAAATCGAATTGCTGCTCAAAATTTTGGGCGCCCATTTGCAGATTAAGTTCTTTGCCATAGCCCTGATCGGATTGCTGATAAATATTGCCCGATTCTGGATCGATGTCAAGCGGGGCGGTGCACCGTCCAAGGTAGGTTAAGAGGCCCAAATTTTGCACCACCGAATTTCGTTGCGTTCGTTCGTTTCTATTTTTTTGTTCTGGTTAACACACGAACAAAATTGTTCCGGTTATGAGACCCAACGAATATATTTACCTCTAATCTTTTGCACCCCCTTTTTTGTCTAGATCATAATTGAAATTTGTTAATGTTTTTAGTGTTAAGCAAAAGCAAATTCTAAGTTTTGTTTTGGCAAAGGTTTGTTGGCCACATTTTGTCGACTCTCTCTCTCTCTCTCTTTCTATCTGTCTCACTCTCCCTTTAGCTATCCCTTCTCTAAAACTCTCTGAACAGCGATATAATGTATATAGATATACTACTATGCATACACCGATGCAGGCGTTTATCATGTGTTGTTTTTAACTGTCTCACTCCAGCTGCGGGTTTTCGTTCACAAATTTTCTCCACAACAGTTCCAACAAGAACAACAAACAAACAACAATTTACCGACCTCTAAAAAACAAATTGTACCGTATGCTAACATATTCAGAGCTCTTTGGTTTCAGATATGGTAACCATTTTGGACAGCTACAACAATAATCAGTATATACAAATTTTCCCATAACTCAAAAACAATACGAAAAATCCAAATCAGATATATATACAAATATACATACGTAGCGTATATCCAAAATGTTCCCCTACAATATATATGTGTAAGTATGGGCGTGTCTCTCTCACTCATAGCTGGCGCCCTTTCCCACTCGTAACTCCTCGTCTCGAATACAAGCTGAGCGATTACACTCAGTTATACACAAACACAAATACACACACACACACACACACATATACAGCATCACACACGCATACACATATGTCTACAGTCTAATCAGTAAGCCCCTTTAAATCCCCTCGAACAGTCCAATCCACACAGCTCTTAAAAACAACTCTTTGGGCTCTTTGGTATTTCCTTTGGTGTTTCTCACTTCACGCCCTATTCGCATTTGCATTTCTAACTAGGTTGTCTATGTCGAACATGCTCATCATCAGCACCACTATGAGGACCATGGCGAGGATTGGGGCGAACAGGGTAGCTACTGGAAGCGTTCGCTACAAACGGAGCCATCCATCGAAGATCTCGACTCGTCCACGGATAGCTACCAAAATCGACCGCTCTTGCAGCAGTCGCAGCCGGAGGATGCACACCATCTGGCCTATCGCAATCAATATCAGTGGCAATAATAGCTATATAAACATACTTTTATTTGACTTACTGATTATTAAATAATCCCTTGAGTCCTAGTTTCGAAATTAATTTTAGCACAAATGCCAGTAAAACAATTTTAGTTCTAACCCCGCCTTAGTAGAAATTTATATGATTTTTAGTGCAATGCCCTACATGTAATTTATATTTATTATATAAT